TCGTCTAGATCGATGGGCAGCACATTTAAAAACAAAGTTCCGCTGGACCCCGTCAACACAAGACCTCCCCGTACCCGCTTCAATTGTGCAAATATTTCCAGTTGACAAAGGTCCTCCATCTGAAATGGAGGTGACCCGAGAAATGATTTACCACAAAAGGTATAAGGCTTCTGGCACCGACGAGCTGTCCCGATATAGATTTTAAGGATGGAGGTTCAGCCTTGGTTTTACAGTCTTGGTCTAGCAGTGAGCGAAACTCCTGGGATTATACTGTTAATTGTCTGTCGCACGTGAACGGTGCACGCGTGGGTTTAGACCTGGTCGAGGTTGTATCGACCAAATTCTTGAGTCAAAAGCTGGAGCATCGAGATTCTTTTCGCAGACCCACCATTCCTATCTTCCTTGATCTGAAAGCGGCCTTCGACTCACTCGACCGCTCCGAACTCTGGCGCTACCTGGCTCTAAAGAGTGTGCCCGAGAAGTTTATTTCGATAATACGATTGCCCCACACTAATAGCTGAAGCAGAGTCCCAGCTTGCGGCACTTTTTCGCCCGAGTTCCTACGGAGAGTGGTGTTCGTCAGAGTTGCCCTCTCTCTCCCTTTCTATTTAACTTTATCATAGATTTAATTTAATTCTTGAAGCACAAGGAAAGAACTGTTTCAAGATGGTAGAATTTCTGATGTAAATTATGCAGACGAATTTGTGCTGCTCAGTGAAGATTCAGGTAAGTTGCAAGCTTTGCTCGATAGTTTGAGTGCTAGTGTAGCCATGTTCGGTACGCGTTTTACACCTTCAAAGTGTAAAATGTTACTACAATATTGAGTTGGTTCAGCCCCCAACCTCATCCTGACTGGAGAAGTAGTAGAGGAAGCGGACAAATTTTGCTATTTGGGCAGCTATATCTCACCTGGTGGACGCATCACAAATGAAGTGTCGGCGCGCATATAAAAGGTTCGGTTGGCATTTACCAACCTGAGACATTTGCGGCACCGTCGCGACATCCGGCTATCTTAGAGCGATCGAGTATATGTTGCCGCAGTTCGGCCAGTGCTGCTATACAGTGCAGATATTTGGCCATTACGGGAACAGGATAAAAATAGATTGTCAGGGTTCGAACACAGCTGTCTATTCCGAGTCTGGTGGTGGGCGAGTAATGCTGAGATCAGGCGCAGAGTTCTAGGTAGTCGCTGTCGTTTATTGGAACAAGTAGTCGGCCTCCATTGATTACAATGTTCGGGGCATGTGCTGCGCACATCACCAAATAGGTTGCTACAGCGAGGAATGTTTCCCGAGGCAGAGAGTGGTCGGAAAAGGGTGAAGAGTAGTCAAACGAAAGATCTGGCACGAGGGTATGAAAACCCTGACCAGGAGACTGGCTCACATAGGTCCTGTTAGGCTCGCTGGATAGGGACCCCGAGATAATGGTCACCTATGGTTAGGCGCACTGAGTAGTGACTGGGTGTAGCAAACAGTGGCGCTTATGCATCTACGCATTATTCTCTTAACAGCAGTCTATATGAATTCTCCATCTTCCGCTTGAATTTGCTTTCAAAATTCAAATTTTCATCCTTCTCTTTTATCCAAATCTGCGGACAAAAGACAGTAACCAAAGCCGGCGCACGAAAGTGCAGGGTTAATGGCAGTAAAAACTGAAAACTGAAAACTATTATACTACTACAAATATGGAAAACAAGATTGATAAATGAAACACGCTGGTTTGGAAAAATGTCCGTTTATGCAACCATGAACCATGCAATTCCGTGCGGCCGTTTTGGTTGCTGCATTATCATTAACGTAGAGCGGAATATAACGAAGTGAATTTCACTCATCGCTGCCCAAGTCACAACGCATGCAAGGTAAGTGAGAATGTGTAAAGAGGATACGAACTGGGCCAATTCAGGGGACGAGGAAAAAAAGCAAACGTTTATGGTCAACAAACACAGTACACAATCCATCTGTGCATGTACATTTTTTCAAGCATTGTGGCGTTATAAGTTGCAATCCTGAGGGATGATCTGTTAAAATCAACGGACTACCAACTTGTTATTTTAAGAATAGTAAGCTTGGATTAGCCCATTCGATTGTTTAAGAGGCACCAGGCACTTGATGATCTTGTTAATGTCTACCTGATTGGTTTCCCGTAGATCGAACTGACGCACAGTACCGTCTTCGGAGGCCGACCAAAATAAGAACGGTTCGGAAGGTGTGGTAGCTAAACGCTTGACGCGACTGGTATGACAAGCGAACACATGACGCGTTTCCATGCGACTGATGTCATGTACGCGGATTTTGGCGTCAGCAGCTCCCGTCACAAGGATATATTCCTAAAGGAAATGAAAGAAACTCCGAGGCAGAAGCTGAGGTAACTTACATTAAGATTAGGCATGAACTTCACTGAGAATATGTTGCCCACGTGACCTGTATTCATAGCAATAACATGCTTGTGTTCAAAAGGGTCCCAGATAATCAGACAACAATCATCGGACCCACTTGCCAAGCGCGTACCCCGTTCATCCCATTCAAGACAGTTTACGCAACCTTGGTGACCCTAAAATGACCGTCGATGAAAAATTAAACGACAAAAGACGGCTTACCTCAAGGCTTTTCTCCAATCCAAGCCTATTGATTAGTTGTCGATTTACATGATTTCGACGGGTAAAGTAAGTAGGTGTAATGATCTGAAAGAGCAGGTTACTTATAAAATTATTGAGAAATTCGATCGGGCGGAAAATGCTTTTGGACACAGAAACTGGCAACAAAGGCGGTTCTCCTATAACATCGCGATCTAGACAGCCTAAAACTGTGGTACTGTGATATACTAATCAGGGCTGAATTCGACTGATTACAAACCATGACCGCAAAAGATCAGTCACATCCGTAGCGGTACATGAAAAAATGAAAATCTGTGACACTCCTAATCTGTCTACGGCCCGTAAATCGATTCAGCTGTGCGAAGAAATTCTGAGACAAGAAAAGCAACTGCTTGTAAGTATTTTCTATAATGAAACCTTGACTTTGACTTCACTACAACGAATGAGTTGAGGGAAACAGTATTTGGTTATTTAACCAATCGGTGTTATTCAATCAGCGGATCTAAACTATGCAAAAACCTCCGAGAAAGTAGACAATTGGGCTAAATACTACCACCTTTCTAGACAACCTCGAATCTATAATCTAGACGAACTGAGAACACCAGGCAACTATGCTGCCCCAGACATCTGTGATCAGATTCCACAATGCATTTATCACTGCCAATGTGACCAACATAACACTGTAAATCAAGCCGGCAAAAGAAATTCTAGAGCGACAGCCGTCAGCACTTGTCGACAGCAAACGAGAGAGGTTTCAACTCAACTTTTGCAACAAGTGAAATCACTGAGAAAGGATTTTAACTTCAAATTAGTGACTCAAGGTGAAAACCGTTATGTCATTAAAGACACCTCCATAACTGGGCTTAACTTTCCGCCGAATTCGGAAGGGGAACGGGTTTCCAATGATAATACCGGTGTTACAAAGATGTGTTATTTTGTCCGACGAAACTCTCTTTTGGTGGAATTAGGTTTTTCCAGTTACCTCGAGCATCTGAGCCTGCACTGGGGTTAAAACCCGGGTCTTACCAAAGTGATATATTCCATCGAAAGATTAAACGTAGATGTTAAACGACAGCATAGAAAATACCTATTTATTACAACGGGTGAGAGATCAAGATTACCTTTACATCCAATACTACAACGGTACGTTGTTTGTCACACGACTGCCGACAACTTTGAAGAAAAAGATATACAAATAATCAGAATAAATCCACACAATCCACGGGAGAACGAACAAGCAGAACGCTTTATGGCTTTATCTGTCAACAAAACTAAAAGGTTTTCCTAAATCCCAGTGGAAAAGATCGCTGCCGGACACCTTTCATTAGATTCAGTTCTGTGTACCTTTGCATGCGAACCGACGGTCCACACAGGCCTTTGTACTCTTGTGTAGTATCATCATCATCATCATCACCGTTGTACAAAGTAACACGGTGAAGTGAACTTCACTGATCGCTGAAAAACTCATAATGCATACAAGGTAAGTGAGAATGTGTAAGGAGGATAGGGATGGGGCCTAGTTTTAAGGACGGGAAAAGAAAGCGAACCATTATCGTAAACACAAAGAGAGCACAATCTAACTGTGCATACATGCCCTTTCAAGCATTCTGGTCTGATAAGAAGTGACAGCAAGATCACCACTGCTGTCAGCTTGATGCCATCACCTTTAGTGTCTTCAATCAAGCGGTCACGTACTCTTTCGGACCCCAACCCGGAAGACGAGAGACCCTTACTCCAACCAACAGCTCAGTGCATTTCTTTA